GCTTCGGGGCTCGAGAATAATACCGGGGCTTCGGGGTATTTCTGGCACGCAAATCGAGGCAAAACGGGAGAGAGAATGGAGAAAAATAGCAAAGAAGCCGGCTGCCCTCGCATCCTATTTATAGGAGGTTGGAGCCTCGAGGTACGCGGGGCGGACACGTCCGAATTCATCACTGCATGCATCATCCGAAGCCACTTGATGCGAGTGTCGACATCCTCGGTGTACGCGGGGCGTACTTCGGATCGGACCGCTGACTCCTCTTCGGATAATGTCGGGGTTTAATAATTAATTTTAATTATTAGTTATTTAATAAACTTCGGAAATTCATATCTCCTTCATACGAACTCCGTTTTCGACGTTCTTTATATCCACACGAAGGTGAGACTACTCTCTACAACTTTCGTTTAGATTCCGTCGGCTAATTTTGACTTTATTTTTATTATTTATTTTTAATAGGCCGGGACAGAAAATTTCGTTATAAATTCATAACTTCTTCGTCCGACGTCCGTTCTTGCCTAACTTTTCGTCGCTTTGCTACTAACAACGAGATCTTGGATTCTCGTTTAGATTGCTAAAGCTAAATATCACTCTAACGTAAATTCACTTTTTACGTCATTCAACATTGTGCCGTTTCTGTCGTGAAACTTTAACAAGTCATAACTTCTTCGTTATAACTCGGACTTTGGCGTTCTTTATATGTACGGAAACCTTGTAACATATACTACAACTTGGTTAGGATTATTCATCCTAAATAATCTTCTATCAAAAGTCATTTTTGACGCTTATTGTCTCTAAATTGACTAGCCCTGATCTACGGGCGTTACATTTACCTTTTGATGTCTCAACAAATGTAATATCATGCTCTGATGTTCATCTTTCTGGACACGCCCCTCCACCTTATATGTGGGGTCCTCCACAGGTATAACATGTAAAGAATTATCCCCATTCCTTCAGATTTATCAGGTTTACCTTTATGTTGACTTTTTGTACTTGCAAAAGCACAAAATCGGCATATGATGCCACCCTATACTGCTTTCTATCGATATGGAGGTGTTTATGAACATCTTGTAGTTCATCTTGTAAGTCTTCTTGACCTTTCTAAGACCATAATGTGACCTTTCAAAGATCATCTTGTAAGTCTCTTATGAAGGTGGAAACAATGATGAGAACTCACACAGGTAACATAACTTACATCATGCCTATATTGGTCAATTTACATGTTTCCACATATAAATGGTAACTTATATATAAAACAGTGGGGAGACTAAAGGAACGAGTGAAGGAAGTGATGGGAATACAACTGAGGTAAGGAATTAAACATTTAATTTTCTTTAACGTTAATATGTGTATCTAAATCTTGTTGGATGTTATTTTAGCGAGGTAAAAATGGTGGGAAAAGAAGCAGTGAAGGGTCACTTATTCTTTGTAAGTTTCATATAAATCAGTATTTATGTTAATGGAGAATAAAGGTTTATAAAAAGATGAAAAATAAAACCTTTATGTCATCAGTTGAAGTTAAGAAGTTTGAGCCACAAATGATCACTAAAACCAAGGTAAAGTGAGACAAAGCTCTATTTTTAACTTTGTTTTATTAACTTTCTGTTTTTTAAAACATCTCGTATCAGTTAAGTAGATGGCTAATACCAACAGATGTGACTGAGAAAAGAAAAAAGCAAATTTGAACTTCAACATCGTACAACCCCTGCCACCTCTTCGCTAGGAGGAGAAAATTCATCTAAATTGAATGGTGGCGATCAAGTAGAGACTGAGAATGGAAAATATAAAGTAAAAGATGAAAATGCTGATGGAAATCTATCAGACACTTCTTCAGATTCAGAGGATGTGGACAGTGTACCAACCAATAAGGAATGTGCCCTTCAATTCAAGGTATTTTCTATGTATTTTATCACTATCATATTAAGGGTTGTTTCTTGTTTCTTGTTTTTTTTATCAAGTCATGTATGCTTAAAGTAGTTGAATCTGTAATGATGCTTATATGAATAAACTACTGTACACAGAAGGTCTGTTTCTTTTTCTAGACTAAATAAACCGTCTGAATGAGTCTAAATGAGCGATATACCCTTACATTCCAAAAAAATACTATATTTATCAATTTTAACAAGCTAACACAACAAACTCAGATTCCATTGTTGAGTTTGTAATGCAAGATTGCTTCTTGGAAGCCCAAGAAATGGCACCTCCCCCAAGCAAGAACACCCAACCACAAGTTGAGGAATGGTCCTCCATGTTGGTTATCCAACTTGCATCCGAATGACATTCTAAAACCGAAGGACTTCCCAAATAACTCAAGCCATAATCCATGGTTCCCTTGAGATACTTGAACACTCTAATCATTGCTTGCCATTGTTGAGCACTTGGATTACTAGTATACCTGCTCAACTTACCCACAACAAAAGCAATATCAAGTCTGGTACTTGTCATGGCATACATCAACCCACCAATGGCCTTAGAGAATTTCAATTGTGAAATGGGAATGCTAGTATTTAGCATTAATTTCTTACTTGGATAAATAGGAGTACTTACAGGAGAACAATCGTTAAAATTAAACAACTTGAGAATTTTCTCAATATAATGACTTTGAGTCATCACCAATCCTTTATTCATCCTCTTAATTCTTATTCCAAGAATTACATCAGCCTCTCGTAAATCTTTCATGGAAAACTTGGATGATAACAATTTCTTTGTTTGAGCCACTTGATTTTGGTCGGTACCAAAATTCAACATATCATCTACATATAAGCAAATGATCACTCCAACTCAAGTAGCATCATCAAATCTACTATAAAAACATTTGTCACATTGGTTTGTCTTGAAACCAAAAGACAAAATCACCTCATCAAAATTTTTTTGCCATTGTTTAGGCATTTGTTTCAGCCCATACAAAGATTTGACAAGTTTACAAACCATATGCTCTTTACCGGGCATAATGAAACCTTCTGGTTGTTTCATGTAAACTTCCTCGTCAAGATCACCATTTAAAAAGGCTATTTTCACATCCATTTGGTGAATAACCAGATAATGGATACTTGCCAAGGCAACCAACAATCTAATAGTAGAAATACGTGCAACTGGAGCATACGTATCAAAATAGTCAATACTAGGTTTTTGTCTAAAACCTTGAATGACTAACCGGGCTTTGAATTTTTCAGTAGTCCTATTTACATTCATTTTCTTTTTGAAAATCCATTTGCAATCAAGAGGTTTAGAACCTAGAGGTAAATCAGACAACACCCATGTGTTATTCTCAAGAATTGATGACATTTCATCATCAATTGCTTCATTCCAAAAGGCAGTATCATGAGACTCTATGGCCTTTTGATATGTCTTAGGATCATCTTCAATACTATAGCAATAAGAGTATTCAAGATTAATTTCATCTCTTGAACCTTCTACCAAATACAGTTGGAAGTCGGATCCGAAATTTTTGGCAATTTAGCCTCTTTTGCTTCTACGAAGATCTTGTGGTTCTTGCACAATACCACCATCTTGACTTTCTGAATTTTGCTCTTTATTAGCACCAAAAGTCAGATCCTTAGGCCTTTGAATCGAGGAAATCCGCATCTCATCAAAAGTTGCATCTCGCGATTCGATAATAGTGTTAATTGAAACCGAATCATTAGTTTCTATTACATAAAACCTATATGACTTGGAATGTTCAACATATCCAATGAATTTGCAATCAATTCCACGTTCTCCTAAAATTTTCTTTTTGGGCTCGGTAAGATTTACAACTGCCCCACATTCCCAAACCCGAAAATAACTCAAATTCGGCTTTTTCTTGAACCAAAGTTCATATGGGACAATTTTGCTCCTTTTATTTGGAACCATATTTAACAAATAGCAGGTTGTTAACATGGCCTCTCTCCAGAATCCTTCACTCAATCTCGAGTATGATAACATCGAGTTTATCATTTCCTTTAAAACTTGATTTTTGCGTTCAGCAATACCATTCTGTTGGGGTGTATAAGGTGTCATGGTCTCATGAATGATACCCACTGATTGAAAATATACGGGATCCATATATTCACCTCCCCTATCAGTCCTGAGACATTTAACCGGAATGCCCAATTGCAATTCCACCTCGGTTTTGTATATTTTGAATTTATCTAAGGCTTCATCCTTAGAATATAACAAATACACATAGCAAAACCAAGTGCAATCATCAATAAAGGTGACTGCATACTTTTTATTTCCCAAAGAAGGAGTGGAATGAAAATCACAAAGGTCACAGTGTACAAGTTCCAAAACAGCTAAATTTCTACTAACATTAGGAAATGGTTGTTTTGTTACCTTTGTAAGCATGCATGTTTTACATTTATCAGATGTCATATCAAAGGCTAGAATTAATCGATCTTTTGACATATCATGCATCCTTCTAAAGTTGACATGACCTAATCCTACATGCCAAAGCATTTATCAACATTCAAAGCAAAAGATACAAATACAGAATTTTGAACATGTAATAATTTATCAACATGACCTATGGATTCAGATTAGGATTTTTGCTTTAAAGTGTTGTCTTTGGATTACAATTTTAATTTAGTTTGTGTTTTAATGTCATGTTATTGTAACAATAGATTATGGTTGTTCTATTTAGATTAATGTTGAAGCATATTAGAATGCAGTACATGATAATGGACATGTAAGCATAAGGTCTATGTTCTATTCGGCAGTTTAAAATTAGTTGACTTGGTACCTTTTTGCTAGATTTTGATTTAGAACACTACACCTTTGTACTATTATGGACAAAACAAGGTTTGATGTACACACACACACACACACATATATATATATATATATATATATATATATATATATATATATATATATACTTCTAAACCTACCCCCACCTCGAAACCCATAACATTCGGTCGTTCAACATGACCACAATCGACATAACTGCTACTGCCACCACAGTCAAGCACACATTAAGAGCTTGAAACTTCCATCAATATCCACACATCTCAACCTGAAGACGCATGAACTCCGCCCTCGAAATAACGATGTCATGTCCCATCCCATCTTTCAGTTTATGGATCTCCATTAGTTTTCTTCACAATCTCAGAAGATCGAACACAAATCGTTATAGGTTAAATAGTCTATCGATGAATTTAAAGAAGAGGGTGATGGTAATGGTTAGGTAGGATCCATATTCACTAACTTTTTTAAGGTTCCAAGATTTTTGTTTGTCTAATATGGGGGGGGGGGGGGGGGGAATGTCGAGTTGTGTTGAAATTAATACAACACCAATGGGTATATAAGGAACAACAAGGGTTGTCAACGAGGCATACACATCGGCATCTAAGGAACAACAAGGGTTGTTGGCGAGGCTACATGTCATCATTTTCTATCATATTTGGTAGATGTAACCGGCTATAATAGGTTATATAACCAAATAGTTAAAGGACCTATTAAAACAAATAATATCAAGAGATGACCCCACGAAAATACAAAACAAATAATAATATTTAGATGTTTCTTCCCTGCAAGCACACACCTAGTTCCCAGATAGTATACGTGCAACAATAATCAAGTTTAGTAGTCCTAGTGGGAGAGTTTCAATTCCAATTTGAATTGAGTTTATTGTGCGCATCAAACTCTTATGTTAGTTGCCTATATGGGATAATGTTAAGAGATTGATGAAAGAATAACATTTTTTTTTACAATTAGACGTCTATGTAGCCAAACATGTAAGCATAGCACTATTAAATGCATTCGAACCAAGAGACAAAAGCTTCATCACTATGAGAGGAGCTTATGCTATAAGGCATCAGGTATTAGGCATCTGATGCAGATTTTGCATTCGATGTTATTCTCTACAACATATAGTGGAAGCGTATTAAACTTAAAGCCACTTTGCATAAAACTCAATTACTACTCTTTTATATCTATATATCTCTCTTCACTTTCTCACTCCCTCTTAATTATCAACAAACATAATCTCTTTTTTATCTTCAATTTCTCTCATGGCTTTTCACTATATTTTCATCTTTTATCTTGTTTTATTACTTCCATTATCAAGTTCTTATGAAGCTTCCATGGCGGATCAAGCTGAGTTCTTCACCCACGTGAAGAATTCTCTGACAGGAGCTTTTTTAAACGATTGGGATGACAACGGTCAAAAACCCGTCTGCAACTACACAGGTGTCAACTGTGATCAACAAGGGTACGTGGTGAAGATTGATATTTCAGGGCAGGGGCTTTTCGGTCATTTCCCAGAAAACATATGCTCTTTCTTACCTCGATTGAGAAGTCTTTATCTTGGGTACAACAAGATTCATGGAGACTTCCCTCACAGCATCACCAACTGTTCGCTTCTAGAACAACTCAACATAACACATACAAATCTCACCGGAAAGTTGCCGGATTTATCTCCGATGAAGTCTTTAAAGTTGCTTGATTTGTCGTCTAATTTCTTCACAGGGGCGTTCCCGATGTCGTTTATAAATCTCACCAATCTTGAAGTTGTCAACTTTAACGAAAACGCAGGTTTTGACATGTGGAGGCTGCCGGAGAATATTACGAAGCTGGTGAAGCTCAAGTCGATGATCTTGAGTACTTGTAAGGTGAGTGGTTTAATCCCGAAATCCATCGGAAACATGACGTCACTTGTTGATCTTGAATTGAGCGGGAATTTTTTAGTGGGCCCAGTTCCGAGAGAAATCGGGTTGCTTAAAAACCTGCAACAGCTTGAGCTTTACTACAATCAATTAGTCGGTGGGATACCGGAGGAGCTTGGGAACCTCACAGAGCTCATTGATCTCGACATGTCCGTCAACAGGCTCACCGGAAACTTACCGGAATGCATTTGCCGTCTCCCGAAGCTCCAAGTCCTGCAGCTTTACAACAACAGTCTCACCGGAGAGATTCCGGTTGTGTTGGAGAACTCGACAACTCTAACCATGTTGTCGCTTTACGACAACCTTTTAACCGGTGAAGTCCCCAGGCATCTAGGCAGATCATCACCGCTATCGCTCATTGACATGTCGGAAAACCGGTTGACCGGAGAGTTACCACCTGACGTCTGCAACGGAGGTAAGTTGCTTTATCTTCTAGCACTTGGAAACATGTTCTCCGGTGAGTTACCGGAAAGTTACGGTAACTGCGTCTCTCTTATACGTTTTCGGGTGAGCCGTAACCGTCTGGAAGGGAACATACCGGAAGGAGTTCTAGGCCTCCCGTCGGTTTCCATTATCGATTTGAGTTACAACTTTTTAAATGGTTCAATCGCGAAAGCAATCGGAAACGCTCGAAACTTATCGGAGTTGTTTCTACAGAACAATCGAATCTCCGGCGTCGTACCTCACGAAATATCTAACGCGATCAATCTAGTGAAAATCGATTTCAGTAACAACCTCTTGTCTGGTCCAATACCTTCAGAAATTGGCAACCTAGAAAAGCTAAATCTGTTGTTATTGCAAGGAAACCAGCTTACATCTTCCATTCCCGATTCACTTTCTTCTCTAAAATCCCTAAATCTTCTCGACCTGTCGAGAAATCTCCTCACAGGTGGCATACCCGAAACCCTAACCGATTTGCTTCCAAATTCCATGAATTTTTCAAACAATCTTCTTTCTGGAGCGATACCCGTGTCATTCATCAAAGGGGGGCAGTTAGAAAGCTTCACAGGGAACACAAAACTCTGTGTTCCTGTTCCAGTGTTACCCAAAACAGGAAATCAAAATTTCTCCATATGTTCACAGACGTATAACAAAAAAAGAGTCAACTTCTTTTGGATGATTGGGATTTCGATTGGGATTCTGTTCATCGGAGGTATCATATTTCTAAGGTGTAATCGAGAAAGAGAGGTTCTACAACATGAAGACGACACATGGGCATTTTCGTATTTCTCCTACAACATGAAAAGCTTTCATCATGTAAGTTTCAACCAACATGAAATCATCAAATCCATGACTGATAAAAACGTGGTGGGTCATGGAGGATCGGGTATGGTTTACAAAATCGATTTAAGCAATGGTGAAGTTATTGCAGTGAAGCGATTTTGGAGTCAGAAATCGAAAGATAATTCCTCATCAAATGATCAAAAAATAATGGAGAAAGAATTGAAAAGTGAAGTTGAGACATTAGGAAACATAAGGCACAAGAATATAATTAAATTGTATTGTTACTTATCAAGTTGTAATTGTAACTTGTTGGTTTATGAATACATGCCAAATGGAAGTCTTTGGGATGCACTTCATAATGGGAAATGTGTTTTGGATTGGCCGACACGTCATCAAATTGCAGTTGGTGTAGCAAAAGGGTTGGCTTATCTTCACCATGATTTGGTGCCACCTATTATTCATAGAGATGTTAAATCGACCAATATTCTTCTTGATGGAAATTTTCAACCAAAAGTTGCCGATTTTGGGTTAGCTAAGGTTCTAAATGGTAGAGGGAAAGATTCCACCACTACTTGCATTGCAGGGACATATGGCTACATAGCCCCAGGTATTGTTTTTCATATTGTATTTTAACATTTTACTTTTGTATTATATATGTTTGATGAAATGATGTATGTATTGTTCATTGTTTAAATGATGTAGAGTATGCGTATTCATCGAAAGCAACAACCAAGTGTGACGTGTATAGTTTTGGGGTGGTATTGATGGAATTGATAACGGGGAAGAAGCCGGTGGAGGCGGAGTTTGGGGAAAACAAGAACATCATATATTGGATTTCAACAAAAGTGGAGACGAAGGAGGGGGCGACTGAGATTCTAGACAAGAATTTGTCAGGGTATTTTAAAGATGATATGATAAAAGTTCTTCGTGTAGCTATCCTATGTACATGCAGGATAGCTACACTGCGGCCTAGCATGAATGAGGTTGTTCAATTGCTCATTCAGGCAGACCCTTGTAGGATCGATACTTGCAAACTAGCAAACAAGACAAAAGAACCCGAAAAATAAATCTTTCATTACTAATTAAAGTAAACTTTATTTGGGGTTTTGAAAGGAATTAGCATAGCATCTATAGAGTGGAGTATTGTAAATATTTCCAAAGTGTTGTATATCAATATATCATGATATATATATTCCATGAAATAATCTTTTAGCTTTATAATGTTTGTCTTTTATTTTTATTTTTGGTTATTATGAGTGCCTACTCAAAACAAAAAGTGGAATGCATTTGATATTTTAAGGTGCTTCTTTTTTTGTGTCAAGTGGATTCCTAATTTTCTTCCTAATTTTCTTGTTTAAGAAAAAGAGTAAACTAAATGGTCCTTGTACTTTTTGATTTTACCTTGATTAGTCAAAAATTAAAATATTATTCAAGTTTGGTTCTTGTGTCAAGGGGGAACAAGGACCAAAATTGATATTAAACCTTGAAATAAGAACTATAATCAATATAAAACCTTGAAGTTCGAAAACTGAAAAATGAAAAAGATTTCAGTTTTGAACTCAACGCAGTAAAAATCATATATATATATATATATATATTAAAGTTTAGTAGAAAGTTGTTTGTGGAGGGGGCCTCTCTTGTATCTACTAGAAAGAACACAATTCCTGAGTAATCAATGAGCATCGATGTGTCATAGTGTCCCAATGTAAGCTATAAAGTACACTTCTTTCTTTAATCACTACCTTTTTATTCTTATCTCTTCTTTTTGTGCTAGTGTTTGATTATCTTGTTGGTATCAAGTCGAAAGTGAAATATTTGATGGACAAAAATCACCAAGTAACATTCACCATAGATGGTGTGCCACAAACTTCCACTTTCTACCAGACAAATTCTTTGTTTTATCTCAAGTGCTTTCACTTACACTCACTCCAATAAGACTATGGCATATATACATATACAAGTACAATGGTAAATACAGTAGAGTTATTTAGATAATTTGTGTTGAATAATTCAATTATTTAGTTACTACATGTTGTATTGATGAAGATTTATCTCATGAAAACCCTAATTAATATTTTTCTTCTAGTTCATTCTTTAATAGCTAAATGTACATGCTTTAGAATCACATTGATGCAAAGAATGTATTATGTGATCATAATATACGAACAACCACACACACGAGTGCAAGATTTCCCACTTGAGTGGCATGCTTTAGAAAGAATAAGATTCAATGAGACTTAATGTTTATATCTTTTGCATGGTGGAGAGTCCATAGACTAAAGTTAATAGCTTTCATAAATGATGCCTCTTGGACAACATGCTACCTAGCTACAGCCTTTAGCCTATAAAAATGTACAAAAGCTCAGTTTCTATACGTATTTAATGCATGCAAATACATATATGATTTAAAAAGAATTCGATAACGACAATCTTTAAAAGAAGAAATAAGTAGGAACAAATATCTGATTTTGTGAGTCAAGTTGCTAAGTAATGTCGTTATTGGAGGTCTTTATCAGGTCCAAAGTGTAAAGAGGAGAAAAAAAGAGCATGTTATCTTGTTTCGGTTTTTCGAGAAAGCTAGAGAAAGTTAAAAGTACACCATTAGTATGATTGCTTTGAGTTTATTAGACAATGAACAATAGCCGGAGATGTAGGAGACAGGATGAACAATCTCCAAATCTTTGAAAACAATCAATGTTCTTAAGATTTTCGGAAGTGAAAATAGTAAATCCATTATAAAATTGCCCACAAACATGAAGGAATCGAGATAATTGCAATCATGGCGGAATAAGATGATTGAAAGCAGTTTAGATTTTTAAGTAACAGCTGGTGTGCACTATCAAAAAAAAAAAAAAATGGAAGCATTAGTTTTATGAATCGAATAATGAAGTCGCAAAAGCACATGTCAACTCCATTGGAGGTTGATTTGATCGTGGAATAGAGTACAAGAGGATCAAATTCACTGAATGTAATACTTTTGGTATAATAAAAAGGCATATATAACTTCATATCTGTAACTGACCTTAAACGGAGATTTCATGAAATCATCGGCACAAACAATGGAATATCGTCGAGATGTTCATTAGCCCGGATCAGAAATTTGACAATAACAGATTGAAGAATGGAAAAAACCATTACAATCCGGAGGATTGTTTTACTGAAATTTTTACATACAAGATGATTAGAATTCAAATTTATTTTTTTATATTATTTTATATAGTTCGAAATGATCAGTTTTCCACGACATTTATCTAATAAAATAAATTGCCATACACATTTGTAAAATCTTTTTTAGATTGATTAATATTTTTTATTTATCTAAATTTTTTTTTATAAAGTCCTTATATAATTTATTACTTTATAAACATAACATATTTCTATAAAAATTACTTAGATAATAAAATTTAATTAACTAATAATATTACCATATATAAAGATATTCGAAAAAAAAAATCAAAATGTAAAATTGTTTTATCTCATCATACAATATTTGATGTATACACGTTCGTGTGTCATACACCATACAAAATTTCATTAAAAATTTAAAATCATCTAAGAATTCACTGGTGATGAACTAACTCACTCACACTACGAGTTGCTCAAAAACATTGTCAGACATGATTATAAGTGTGGGTGCTCGGTTAACCAATGTGATATCAACTAAGGGCGGATGTAAGATTTCATAGTAGTGATATCACAGAAAATTTCAGTAATCGCAAGATAGTAGAAAAAAAAATGTCAAAAAATTTCAAAAAAGTTTGCACTACATCTAGCAAAGAAAAATCAGAGATTATCTGTGTCACTACATGCCCTATACTAAAACTGTCCTCGACATCAAGAGGTACGCAACGACACCATGCTCTTGAATTTGATAGACATAACTATGAACCACCATGACGAGTTCTCTCTCTATAGATCCGTATTTGGATAGATAAGCCTAAAAGTGAATCCGCATTTAGATCAATTTTGTCGAAAATGAATACAAATTTATGAGTCAAAAGCGAAACCATGGGTGGAGCATTTCCTTCCTCGTTTCTTTATTTAGTTTATTATGTAGCATAAAACCAATTATTTAGAAAACAATTAATAAAACTATTCTCCAACAATACATTTTAATGAAACAACAAACTTAAGTTTATGTTATTTAGTATGTTATAAAACATGAAAACTACGGTCTGTATGCTTGAACATTTTATATAGATAAAAAATTAATAAATGTAAAAAAATAATATGTGTAAAATATGAAAATTAAACAAAAAATTAGGTAAATAGGATAATGTATCCTTGAATTGTTGGGATACATTACAATCTAAGAGTTTTTTGGTATTTTTAAAAATTAGTCTCCAATATTTCAAAAATATTATGTTATTAGGATATGATTTAATTTTTTAAAATTTTAAAGCAAAGTTGATATGTTACAAAAGAATAAATAAATAAATAAATAAAAACCAGAAATCGAAGAAAAATCATGAAAAAATTTCACGTATCAATATTTTTGCTAGAAAATAAACATATGACATTTTTTTTGTTTTGCCTATTACAAAAGATAGACATAGATATATTACTTATTATTGATTTAATTTATGTTCTCATTAAACGTATAAAGTGTGGTAGAAAAGTAACTAAAAATATCATTTGATTACTTTTCTAAAAATATATAACTTCCAAAATATGATGTATAAATTATTATACGTTGTACGGCGTACACCACTTAGTGTCTAAGGATTGGAATACACAACACATAGTGCATTAGAACTATTATGTTGCTTACAAATATATAGCACACATCCACATGAATGTGCATTAGAACTATTATCTTGCTTACAAGTATATAGCACACATCCACATGAATGTCTCATATGAGGATATGATTTAGTTTTTTTAAAATTTTAAATTAAAGTTGATATGTTAAAAAAAAAAAACGCAAATTAGAGAAAGTATAGAAAAATGTCACGTATCAAATATGTTTGCTAGAAAATTGATATGCAATAGTTTTTTGTTTTGTTTATTAATATATAGAGGTAGATATGTTTAAATTTTTAGTTTAACAAAAAAAGTTAAGTATTACTAATGATTTATTTTTAGTTTTAGTTTAAATGTTTTGAAAATAATAAGTATTACTCATATTAAAAATAATTAATTTTGGTTGAAGTTGGAATAATTGAAATGTAGATATTTTCCTAAAATATACAGGTGAAAAGTTGATGCAGAATAAAGTAAAATTTTGGTATGCGTAATAGTCTTAGGTGTTTGTTGTTTTTTTGTCTGCAGATCTTCTTGACCTCTTCTGTCTGTGCCGCATAGACCACGCACTGATATTAGGCTTCACAGACTATTTATTTTTTGAAGACTGCAGACCTAAAAATGATTATGCGTCCTCTTCTTTTCGTAGATGTGGACCAAAATTTTCAAATATTTTCAGATATTTTCTAGCTTAAAAAACATATATACCTTTCATTTTTTCTAAATAACTTAGATTTATTCCAATTTTATCTATGATAAATAATTTGGAAAAAAGTTACAATACTTAAAGAAAAAATGTTTGACGTTTGTGACAAATTTATAAATACAAATTTAATTATACTAATGGTTGTTGGAGTTATTTATATAGATTTTTTTTTTTGAACTGACAAATACAAATATACTAATCTACTCCTAAACTAACACCTAATTCCACAAATGTCCACGACGAGATTTGAACCCTCGACCTCAAAGAGGGAGGGCACCACCTGATACCGCTGGACTAGAAGCCCTTTGGTTAGTTATTTATATAGATATGGAAAAAAAATGAACATATCAACATATATTTTTTGTGTCAAATTTTATAAAATATTACTTAATGTATTATCATTCATTTATTGGGAAAACATTTATGGGTAGTTTTTTAGTGATTTAATTTAAAAAGTAAAATAAAAATTTTCAATTAAAATCAAAGTTTATTTTCATCCATTTTATATTTTAAGTTCTTTTATCCTAATTAGAATGTTAAGGTATAACTTTGGAACCACACTTTCTTTGTTTTTATCAAATATATACATTAATTCTTACCATTTTATTTTTATTTTCTAAACAATAATACATAAAAGTTGATCTACATTTGTTAATTATCTATAATAAAGTCATAAAATTATTGAAAAACTTTTTTAAGTTTTAAAAAAAACAATTTAATTAGATTTTAGTTTATTCTAAAAGCCTACAAATGTTAAAAAATAAGCAGTCTT